ATATATATATATATATTATATACATGATTGCACATGCAAACAAAATCAAAGAAAATAATAAATACAAATACAGGACACGCACATATATATATATTATGTGCTACATACTTTCATATAAAAAGAATCACAATAAAATATATATATATTTTTTTTTACAAATAATCAAATTAAAAGAAAAATAATATTCAATGTGTGAGTGTTTATCCCATAGTAAATGTGGTAAACAAGTCATTACTATATAATTGTTATATGATCTCACTTATGCCCATGTATTGTTTTGTCTACCACTACAACGATTTGCCAATCACACCTTTCAAATAGCCAGGATCATTTAAGACAGATAAAATATGGCCTTACTTTTAATAAAAGAATATGTTTTTTTTTATATATATATATATATAACACAGGAGCATGTTTCTTTATTGGTTCACTAAAACTGAGGAACACGGTTATGCAATTGTGGTTTGGTGAATGAAGCTCACGTCTGCTTTGTCTGAGACATCAGACACATAACCTGACCTGACAACAGAGGTATCAGATGTATCAGCTCTCTTAGATCACTCCTTACCTGGCATATGCCAAGATCAGTGCTCTCTCCCCGGGAGGCTTGATACCCTCTTATGCATTTGGACCCTCATCGCTGGGTGTTCAGACATCATTTCACAGGTGGGCACTCCCTCTGGTGGTGCAGGAAACTGTTAAAAGTCCAAAAAGTCTCTTTAGTGAAGCCCTGATGAATCTAGTATTTTACTGTTAGGTTGTCAAAGCAGACAAATCTTCTAAAACAAAACTATGATTATGTAAATGTGCATCCTAAAGTGAATTAACCATAGTTTCATATCCGACAGGCTTGCACTAAATGCACCAAAAGTTACACCACAGAGAAATCAACCCCTCTCTAAACTGAAGCTACGCTAATCTAATTGTGTGCATACACATAGCTCCTTTATGAGCTGGTTGTGTTTATATTTTTTACCCTGAGGAAACATGCGTTATAATCACGTATACATGATGAAAGCTAGAGAAATTCAGGATTCTAATTATGCTGTTAAATTTATGTAGTAAACCCTGCTGAATGGACAGAGTGGTTTACACACACACAAAAAAGGAATGATATTTTGCACTGGCAAAAGTGTATTCCTGAAAAGAACTGGGCTCTTTCTCTTTGTCTCCCAAATCTGGTGTTGTATTACACTCTCAAGTGCCAAGCCTTGAGGAGAAAGTGGGAAAGAGAGAGAGATGAATGAAATATACTAAAAAAAGACAGTAAGAATCGTTGTAGAGATACAAACTTGTGTCATAATCGTTGGATTTAACCCTCATGCTCAGTTTGGCATCCAATAGACCCTAAGGCCATTCTGCTTGCTTGAAAACACACTTTAAAGTGCTAGTCCACCCAAAAATGAAAATGCTGTCATCATTTACTCAATTTTATGCAAACCTGTATGACTTTCTTTATTTTGTGGAACATAAAAGTAGATATTTTGAAAAATGTTGGTATTCAAGTCACCAAACAATATTGGTTCCCTTTGAATCCTATAGTATTTTTCCCATTGACTTTAATTATATGCAAGTCAATGGGAAAAATACATTGGAATTCAGTGGTTGGTTGCCAACTGTTGAATTCAATAATGTTTACCGACATTCTTCAATTTTTGTCTCTTGTTATGTTCCACACAAGAAAGAAAGTAATTTCAGGTTTTGAATGTCATGAGGTTGAGTAAATGACGACAGAATTTTAATTTTTTGTTAGCTTTATAAAATATATTTTTTTTTTACTTTATAATAGTTAAATGATCAAATTAAAATTTACGCACCCTCATATTGCCCCAAACTTGAATAACCTTCTATCTTGTGCATACAATACAATTACAACTTCTTTTTTTTTTGTGCATACAATAAAAGTCAGTTGTTTTTTCTGTGCAGGTTTGGAATGGTATTAAGGTGAGGAAAATTGTAAGGCAGTAGTTGTGCCCCAAATGGCATTCTGTACATTGTGCACTATGATGTAGGCTACTCAACCATCTAGTGAATGAATATTAGAAGGTTTAGAAGGAAAGCTGTGACGGTTGAGTGCATGAAGTGCATTCCACATATTTTTTTTTTGTTAAATAAGTGCATCATCCCAGCATTTGAAGTGCACTTCTTGTTGTTGAAATTTTCAGTGTGAATGCACTACTCACACTATTTCAACTATAAAACAGAATAGTGCATGTGAATTGGGATGCAACTAATGTGTTGCTGAGGTTAACTGACCCTAAACAGAAACAACGTAGTAAGGAATAATGTACAGTCAGCCGGACATTATCATATATTAAACACCAACAGAGTGGTTGTGTGTCATCTTTAAGAGGTTTATTTTCCAATAATGATCAACTGAATGGACATCATCTTGCTATTGCATGGCTGCTTATCAAATAAACACAGAAACTGACATGAAATATTGATTTAATTTAAAATAATTGTAATATGTGAGAAGAATGAGACCACAGTGTGTTACCAGAGACATGAAACTAGCTGTGTAGGAAATTGGTTGCTTGGGACAACGGTCAATTAAATAGTTTAGCAGCCATTACACACAAATATTTGACACAGAATGCATGATTGGCCAATCAGAATCAAGTGCTCCAAGAGAGCCAAGTAATGATGTTAGATAAACATGGTCACATTTCTGGAAAATGCATGGAAGCACATTAAAATGTTTGGAAGTGGAAGAGGTTCATTTTAAAATGACTTCACAAGGTCTCTGGAACAGTAACAGAACATGTTTTTTAATCCTGAATAATGAGTAGTTTATACGCCCGTACCCAATGAATGTGATGATTAATGTCATTCACACAGTTATTTAATTATATCGCCCGTATAAAATGATCCTCGGTCTGCAAACAGCAGCAAATAAAAGCATCAGAGACCAGACAGCCTTTTGAAACAGAGACAGAGAGAAGCCCAAATCATTCCCTCCCGGCACTGATCATTTAACACACAGAGAGCGTGATGTGTATTAATACAGACGTTTGGGATGCATCTCCCTCCTGCCCATCTCCCTTCTACACTGTTACCGTCAGCCGCTGCGTGCCACGACAGCAACTGCATCAATTAGGCAAGAAAATGAGAGTTAGACGCAAGAACCAAACAGAATATAAAGAGAATGAAAATGAGACAGAAGAGGAAGGTCAAGAGTAAAGGAGGAGAGCGAAACAGTGGGGAATGAAAGATCCTGAGGAGGAGTGGTGGGGGGGGGAAGAGTGCGAAAGCAGTGTTGTCATGGAAACTGGCAAGGATCTGAAGACCAAAACAAGAATGTAAATTGGTTTACCCTCCGCGAGTCTGATGGAATTGGATAACAAGAGGAGAGGAAAAGAGTGAGGGAATGATAAAAAAGGAAGAGCGATGTATGATTGAGGCAGAAAGGAAACGGTTACGACTGTCAAAGTCACGTATTAATCAGATCAACCTAAAATAATCAAACCTGCACAACACAAGCCACCAATATATCAAATCTTAGGAGAATACCTGGTGCAACAGGAGCAATTGGAAGAAAGAGCATCAAATTACGCAGCCAGATCAGTGACTTAAGTAATTACGAAGCGCTTTTAATTAGCCTTGGGAGGAACTAAGGTGGGTTAAAGAGAAGCTTGTGTGTGTGAGTAACTGTGTTTCTTTGTTGCCTTGTTTGTCTTTCACAGGTTTAATTTAGCTTGTTAGTGGTGGGGAGTTCTCTGGAGGCTTGGAGCTTCCCCCACATCAGTGTTTTATAGAAAAATGAAATAACTCCATCACACACAGCCACCGGCGGGAAGAGAGAGAGCAGGCTGGATGAGTCCCAACGGAAAACTGAAGATATTAAGCATAGAGAATCTGATAGTAGTTACAGACTAATATTTTGGCGTCTACATTATGTGTATCATCGGCGTATTTTTTAGCATCACTCATAATTGGCAGAGGCAACATTTGGAGGACGATAAGTATTTCATCACTTTGGTTATTAATTTTAGGTTTCACTCAAATAGTATTAGCATGCAAAATACCAAGTCATTCTTATTTGTGTTTCTACAGAGATATGTCAAAATATGGGATCATACATCAAGGGTCACCATGATTTTGCCAAGTCAGACATGTTTTGGATCAACATCTTTTGTTGATCCTGTAACAACATTACTGTCCAAAACATAGACCTAACCCTATCCCTAC